AATAATATTTGGGTTCAGGAGAATTTGTCGGTCATGGTGATGATATCTTGAGAAGAAGAGAGTATATTAGCTATTGTTGGAATGAAATTGTACATGAAATTCTTGAATCATAAAGGAGGAGACATAATTGAGTGATAAATATGGGATGAGAGAATTAAGAGATAGTGGTTGATTTGGAGTGAAAGAGTTAATTAAGCAGATAATTAATCAATCCTAGTTTTAAGGTATGTGGGTATCTAATAATCTAATTGTATCTTCAAATAATATATTAATATATGGTATAAAATATTAAAAGTGGTAATATGTGTAATTGTTTGAAAGTAAAGATAATATTAGTATATATAGTAGTAATGTATGTCTAATAAGGTAGTTTATCCTTTTATCTAAATGTCAAATTTCAATAATTCATTAAGGGTAAAGTCAAATTGTCATCTTATTATTACTGTTTTCATCTTTGGCAATTTTCACCAACCACACGCCTCATGTGATATACTCGACTCAGAAGGCATTGAGAAGGAACCGATCTAGGGTCATCTATGTGGATGGCCATCTCCAAACCAACTGAGTTATCCCAAAGAACACTAATCTTAATATTATTAATACACTAATATTATTTTTATACATTCTACCAAACGACTATAAACCTCGATATTATTTATAAAGTGTGAAAATTGAACACATGAAGAGAAAAATGAGCTATTTAAGAACCTACAAGTTAAAACACTTGAGAACAATTTTGCATGTGAACTCAAGAAGTCAATCACACCATAAAGAAATAATTTGTCGTGAGAATTTAGATAAACCTCACCATTGTCATATTTTTTTAATATTTGTCTAAGTAGATATATTGAAAGAAAATAATTGTCTTAATTCATACAATAAGAAAATTGGTACAAACCTTCATCAACTCTCAAATGATCATATAAACTAGCAGCAAGAAGCTTAAACTTTGTTCGGATGTTTGTTATGTGCTGTTACATAATGTACCGTATTGTATCGTAATGAATTGTTTTAAATGAATACAGTGTTTTGATAGATGGTATCGTTTTCCATCGTTACATAATGTCACGCATCTTGACTATAAGAAAAATAGGGTGCAGAATTTTGTTATTATATAAATGAACGTGAATTTTATTGTTTATTTTGTTTTCGATTGTATATTTCAAAGTTGTGGACTTCTTGGCTAAGAGGAATATCACTAAACCGCAATACTAATTAATAAGATATATAAAGTGGGAAAATTCAACTTTCGAACACAAATTTTGAAGAGAAAAATGAAAAATTATTCTAGAACAAACAAGTCAAACGCTTTATATAGTTTTGATTCAAATCATATATACATATAAGTGTCTGTACATACATATTATACATAGTATCAGAAAATGTATTCTTGGGCTAGAAAAAGTACATGCATGCACGTATGTGTACATACACACATGTAATATAATAATAAAAAAGTATAGATAAATTTAATTATGTATTTCAAAATCGATACTCTCAAATTACGATTCGTATTTTGTAGTATTCAAATCTTGAATCCGACACCTAAACTATATCAAGACATGGACAAAATATAGTTTTTTTTTTGCCAAATATCATCTCTGTGTATAATGTAAGTTATAACGATCTAATCTCTTCAATGAAGCAACTACAAATCTAGAAGAACCTGCTGCCAATGGATGGGTATATGGTTTGAATTAAATTTAATATTTTTTCAGATTCAATTTGTTTGATTTACTTTGATTTGGTATGGAATTTAAGAAAAACAAATTTAATTTTTTTTTTGTGATCGTAAATTAAATATATATGTCAAATGCATCAAAATGTCTTTTAATCTTGTGATCTTAAAAATGCAGGTGAAAACTTAGAATTAAATAGTTGTGAAAGAATCACTTTTTTAGACGAACTAAAACGAAAAATAGGTCAAACAAATTAAAACGAAGGAAATAGTAGAATTTCATGACCTCTTTGTGTCAGAAGCGAAATAAGAGTTAGAAATTTATAGATTCTGAATTTTAAAGAATCTATAAATAGTTGTTAAAGAATCACTTTTTTAGACGAACTAAAACGAAAAATAGGTCAAACAAATTAAAACGAAGGAAATAGTAGAATTTCATGACCTCTTTGTGTCAGAAGCGAAATAAGAGTTAGAAATTTATAGATTCTGAATTTTAAAGAATCTATAAATAGTTGTTAAAGAATCACTTTTTTAGACGAACTAAAACGAAAAATAGGTCAAACAAATTAAAACGAAGGAAATAGTAGAATTTCATGACCTCTTTGTGTCAGAAGCGAAATAAGAGTTAGAAATTTATAGATTCTGAATTTTAAAGAATCTATAAATAGTTGTTAAAGAATCACTTTTTTAGACGAACTAAAACGAAAAATAGGTCAAACAAATTAAAACGAAGGAAATAGTAGAATTTCATGACCTCTTTGTGTCAGAAGCGAAATAAGAGTTAGAAATTTATAGATTCTGAATTTTACATCGTGAGTTGAGTGTCTATCGGAAATAATCTATCTTCTTTAAGGTAGGGTTAAGGTTACCCGTATACTCTATCGATGGATATTTCATTTTCAGACTTCATGACTTTGTGATATTGTACTGAATATGTTATTACAACGTTATTAAACAATTAACTACTCATAAAAATATTTAATAAATCTTTTAATAAAAATATATATAACCTAAACAAATATTACAGAATTCATTCAATTCAATATCTAGTTCCGCCCTTAATTTATGTTTGTATGGGGGGTAGGGTAGGGTCTTTATGTTAGGATGTCTATTTCTGTTACAAAATCTGAATCTGAAATTCAGTGAACCTTTTGCAACTTGGAATTT